TAACTGCAAACCAGTATTGGGGAAACTGACAAAACAGAATATCCTCTTCTCTAAAGCTAGTCTATTGAGAACTTCAGAAAGATGAAACTTGGGTTAGTTAAGAGCTATAGGGATGCATTGGTTAGAATGTACTATTGCAAGCTAACTCTGCCCACTGTAGGAGTTCAATCCTGATTGGCTCAAGGTTGACTCAGTCTTCCATCCTTCCGAGGTGGGTAAAATGAGGACCCAGACTGTTGGGGACAATAGCCTGACTCTGTAAACCACTTAGAGAGGGCTGTGAAGCACTATGGATATATGTCTAAGTGCTATTACTATTGCTTTACAGCTAAATTATTTTGCAAATATTTAGCTAAACCTAGACAAAAACCACCTAGTCAAAATCACTTAATCTATGGCTGGAAGCAGCAGCTGAAAGTGGGGGATTAAAATTATGTTAACCTGTTTAAAGAAATAATTGTGTGTCTATAAAACCATTTCTAATAAATAGTTTTTACAGGGTTTTGAGATCTGCAAACTTGTTTAAAGGGAGCTGATAGAATTCTTGAATTTTTAGTACCTCCATTAATTTGAATACAATCTAAATCTATTCTGACACCTAGTGGACATAAAAATAGATTAAAATGGAGACAGGAATTAAGCACACTGCTGTGCTCTTCTTACTCTCATCCTCTGTAAATAAAGAGAACAGATAAATGGCAGACTAATGTTAACCAAAGCGAAACGAAACGAGGACAGAATCATAGGGCTGGAAGAGACCTTAGAGGTCTTCTAGTCCAACTCCCTGGCCAAGGCAAGAGTCTTTATACAGGTAGTTCTCAATTTATGACCACAAGGGAGCCCAAAATGTATGTTGTTAAGTGAGTGCCCCATTTTATGACCTTTCTTGCCAGAGTTGTTAAGTGAATCACTGCAGTTGATAAGTTAGTAACCCAGTTGGTAAGTGAATCTGGCTCCCCCATTGATTTTGCTTGTCAGAAGGTCACAAAAAGCTATCATATGACCTTGGGACACAGCAATGGTCATAAATATGAACCAGTTGCCAAGCATCTGATTTTTGACCACATGATCATAAGGATGCTGCAAAGGTCGTAACTGTGAAAAATAGTCATGTCCCTTTTTTTAGTACTGCTGTAACTTTGAACAGCCACTAAATGTACTGTTGTAAGTCTAGTACTACCTGTACTGTCCCATAAAAATTGTTGTGATATTCCCAGAACTCCATGAAAATATGGCAGACATCAGATGGAAGAATGCTAAACTATCCTGCGTGAGAGCAATGAGTTAATGATGCCCAAATGAGTCTCCACTGAATAGAAAAGTAGCACATCAAAGAGAAGTATTTACTCTTCCAGCCTAGAGATAAGTTAGGGTTAGGGTTAATGTTAACTAACCCTCATATATCATGAGATACCTTTTAAACAGATAAGAGAATCCTCGTCGATCTGCACCTTAAAACCCAACTTTGCTGCAGAATCTGTTTGTTCTTACAAAAATCTGATTCCAGTACAACAAATGGCTAGAAAAATGACATCCAACTGGTTATTTAAAAACTATTTTTATGGATTGTATATTATCCGCTACTGTTTCTTCAACATTATTTCCATTTTTGTTAATGGAAATAATGTCAAAGAAACAGTGGTGGTTAACATTTACTGCGTTGAGTTATCCCATGTGGAATTGTCCATGGTGAGTTGTTGGCCACAGATGGCCACAGTGAGATGGCCCTGGCGGGTTGGAAGTGGTGAAATGGCCATGGTGAGTTGTCCCATTCCTCTCCAAATTCATCAGCTTTTTTGACTGCAGTGCCAAAGTCATTGGTTAGGTATTACCTAGCCTAGTTTAGATAGGCTCTTTGTCAGGCAACAGAGTGCTGTGACTTAGCCTAATGGATAAAGGAGCCCTTGCTCCTGTTTGGTCCTCTCTGGGAATCTTGCTTGATGTTCAGCACAGGGCAAACTTAATCAAAGGGGTGTAGAAAAAAAGTTCCTGAGGTTTTTTTCTCTCTCCATTGTTCTCCTTGACTTTACTTTGTCACACTTACTTTCTTGCAGAATGAGTTGGACATGAATAATGGGTCTCTGGAACATTGCTTCCTGATGTCATTTGTGCAAAAATGTCAATTGACAATTCTGGTGGGACAGTAGTCAAGGTCTTGGGCTAGTTCAGTGGCTTTTGCCATCCAATTAGCAATTTCAGCTGATAGTTCTTTTATTGAATAGGATGACAACAAAGGCACATGCCCTTTCCAGAAGTACAAGACTGATGGAAATAAGGGCATTAGTGAAATAGTTGAAAGGACAGGGTTGATAGCATAGTCCATGATGAGTGTACAACTATCTGACTTTGCCCATGACCCAAAAAGTATTCAGGATCCAAAAAAGAGACACTCATTGGAGAGGAATATTCACCACAAGTGATCAGAAGTGACCTTTCCCCTCAACATGGATCTCAGATGCAGATAATTAAAAAGCCTCCTTATGTAGTGTATGGAATTTCATCTGGGTTGAATCAAGTCCTAAACAAGACTAAAAGTGGATGATTCTGGAGGTTTCTTCTCTTGACAAATAGCAGTTCACCATTAAATGGAGCCGTGTACCTGCAGAAGTTAACATCTTACCTCAGAGCATAATCTATATAAATAAAAATGTAATGGTTGTTTGTTCAAAATCGCTAATCTCCAAAAGTTCATCACCAATTGCTTTGAAATTTTGACACAATGTTGCATTCGAATACTCAAATGCGAGCGAAACTACCTAAGTCCCTTTTCGATATGATGGATGATTTTGAACTGAGAGATATNCCAACTTTCTGTGCTCCACAACTTAGCTTTGTGTGCTTCAAGCATAACAGATTCTTAACAGACTTTGGTATTTTCACTGGATTTTACAATGCCTCATGTTTCGCTCACTTAAACATGACCATCAATAAAAACCAGCTTATTTGGAACTTACACTACACACCTAAGCTATTGACTTCAACAGTTAAGGTCCCTGCTAATTTTTAGATCTGGACTGTTAATCACTTTACCAAAATCTGTGGCTAGACAAATTGGGGAGAGAAAACACTGATATGGAGTTAAGAGCAAATTCTTTTCTATCCAGTTTTGTGACCTCCACAAATAATGTCCAAGACATTTAAAGAGGGTTTTCTTGTTGCCAGTACTACAATAACAATGTTTAATATGAGTGAAAATGCAATTGTGTATGTTTATCCGAAAGGGGAATGACACCATCCTTTTAAGTCCATTTAATGCTTGCAAAAAAGCAAAAGGACATAATGTATATGGACATGCACATGACCTCTCAGAATTCAGATTAACATGTTAACAAAGTTGGAAGGGACCTTGTAGGCCATCTAGTTCAACCCCCCACCCAAGCAGACCCTACACCATTCTTTTCTGTAGAATTCTGTAAGTGTAAAACACAAACTAATGACACAAAAACAACACTTAATTGTAAATCATCTCACTGCTGTTTGTGAGCCTGTAGAATAATTCAAATGTATAATGACATCCACTTTTCTCTCTGGTCTCATCAGTGGTGCATAGCTGGTGTCTATAAAGGCAGCTGTATCTATAAGGCTCAGATATTCCAATGGGGTCATCAACTGGTTGGGAAAAGTGTCCAGTACAGTGTCTGAAAGGCAAACATTTTCATTAGCAGCTCGTAGCTTCAAAAAGTAGTTTGCTTTTTGCTTTGATTCAACCTAATTTTCTTTAGGACAAGTGGCACGTCATATTTACCCATTCATAAAACCACAACTTGGGAAGTATGGAATGTTACTTTAAACAGCTTGTTATCTGTTTATAGCTGAGGTAAGAGAACCCTGCTCTCTGTAACTAAATGTTCTTTTGGAAGCACTGTTGCACTGAACATTTCCAGTGTGAAACAAGAATGAAGAAGCAACCGAGGAGCATCTAACCAGTTTGAAACAAGGAAGCAACTGATTCACTGCCAATTTATATGCTTTAATAAAATAAAGACGAGAAAGAAAAAAAAAGGTTAAAAAAAGGAGGGGGAAAGAGGGGAACTTAAAACAGAAAATAAAGAGAACAACAAAACACATGCTTAATTCATTAAACTATAACATCATGGTATGATATTGACCAGTATTTGCATAATATTGGGAGATTATTATTGAGAGATGGCCAGTACATAAAGTGAATACATCTCAGGAATCCATATTGTAACCATATTGATCTTAACACTATATTAATAAATATATAGAAATTAGACAAAAAAGGGCAAAAGCAAACAAATCAATATCACCCATTATAGTTTTAACACAATAAAGTTAATTCCATGTGGTATTATGAAAATATATTTGAAATAAATGTAAAATATATTTCCTTAGTCTCAAATTAGAACTACAGTTAAAATTCCTTAAAAATCTTATCCAGCTGTATATCCCAACTCTTATTTTTCAGTTCTTGTAAATACCCTTAACAATATTGTTTTATTGCTCATTTAAAATATTGTGGAATTAGAATTATCCAAACCACATTCCAATAATATAGCTGAGCCAATTGTGAACTCGTGAGACTCTTTGCTACTTTGGACTTCAAGTGCTATATATTAGTGGCTAACTTCACACAGTGTGCAAAGCTGTTAATATATTTGGTTTGGTTTGGAGAATCCAGCCATCGTAGTTTATTTGACAAATGCTATTTTCAAGGGAGAGGTATGTCCAATTTTAGACATCTTACTAACAATATTTTAGCATTGACACTTGCATCTTTATAAAATCAGGTCATCTTAATGAACAGACTTAAATAAATTTTCTTAGCATTTACCATGTACCTTTCCAGATATAAAAATTCTTATTCTCTAGATATCCATTGTTTAATTGGAATCCATTTAAGAAATTGTAGACCTTTGATGTTGTTACACGCTCTGTTATGACATCACGAAGTAACTTCATAATTTTATGTATAGGCATGACTAGGTAAGTATCCACTGCTCCTGGTACTGGTGGCAGAGGTGGTTTTTCTTCTGAAGAACAGAAGATGCATAGGTTAATTTAGTGCAGCAGGGGCCAAGTGGAAAAGATAGAGTAACATATATTGTGCGATTTTTGTCATTGATTATTACTTCATAGTATACCAAAATAGCAGCAATAGCAATAGCAGTTAGACTTATATACCGCTTCATAGAGCTTTCAGCCCTCTCTAAGCAGTTTACAGAGTCAGCATATTGCCCCCAACAACAATCTGGGTCCTCATTTTACCCA